CAATGTTGATTGCCATTGCCCCCCCCCCCCCCCCCCTCCTCACAGTTTTCCCCCACCAGTCCTCCAATCTTCGCTTTGTGATTTCAACCACCCCGAGGCCGCCGACATCTTCCCGCTGCCCGCGCTGGCCACCATGGCCTCGACTTCCCACTTCATCGATGCACGTCGTCTGCGTCGTCTGCTCCCGCCCTGTCGATGGTGTGGGTCCCAACCTCTTCAGCCCCAGTGCAACCGCATAATCCACCAGATCTGGTGGCATTAGCGGCCTCAGCTCTCGGCACTCCATTATGATATGTTTGGCTGTCTCCCCCTCCTGGCCGCATAGCTGATATGTACCGTCCATCCCCGCCGTGTACGTGGACCTCAGGTGGCGTGTCCTCAACACTCCACTTCGGAAGGAGACCAGACGTGGCCTCGCTGTGCTGACGCAGACCTCGCACACCTGCGACTCGTCTCGAGCTTGCTGTTTCTCGGAGAGCTCGCACCTGTGCCGGCAATCTCAGGTCGCAATCCACGAGGGTTTCTGTTTGGATGACGCTAGGCGAAACTGGAGGACTGCCATTCACACGTCATAGCGTCGGCGGGTCGACAGGAAAGACCATCACAAAAGCGATGCCACCGTTACATTTTTTTCCAACCGTAACAGAAGACATATGTTCCAGGATGCTTCAGGTGGTTCACTATTCTCGAAATTCCAAAATGCAACTACCTGCACGATCTCCAACGAAATCACCGACAACGAAATAACGTGTTGTCCTTTCATACAGCAGTATGATTAAAGTTTCATGTTCAAGGTCATAACTATAGATGCAATAAGGCCAGTTGATTTTACGGCGACGTCATGTGATCACTGTTGAAAGGGACGCCCTTATTGGAGAGGAGTGTGGAGACGTTTTGATGGGAATAAGGGCGGCACATAATTTATTTAGAGTTCGAAGTCTTTTCTCGTCACTCGTCAGACAGACAGGATGTCAGGGAAGAGACCGCGGTCAATCGTTGATGAAACATTTTTTGAGCCCATTGAAAACTCCTCTTCATCCGGAACCGCTACCTCCAAGGCGAAGTGACAAGCCTGTGGGAAAGTAACTTCGGGATCAAAAACTTCCACTTCGAACTTCAAGCTTAATCTCAGTTGGCGTCTCAAAAAATTTGAAAGATGTATTGCAGTGTCAGTATTTCAGTGTTTGTATTTCTGCCTTCACTAAAATGTATTTCTGTATTTGTCTTTCAAAAGGCTTTTTGCCACTTTTTAAAGTGTATTTTCGGTACGTATCGGGGATACATTTTTACAGATACATTGGAGTATCAGTATTTTAGCTACAATTTTCATGTATCCCGGTATTTGTATTTCCAAATACATTTTTCAGTATTTCTGCCCAACCCTAACTGGCCTATAAAAATTAATTTTAAAAAAATCAGGGCGCGTTATGTGGGACACCCGGTATTGGCCTAGATCTACATCTGCGTGGCACGAGATGGGAAACGTGGCTATGTTTTCAGTCATAATTTATTTACGGAAAGATTTCGGCACCCTGTAGAGTGATGGAATAATACGCGGCAAGCATATGACGATAGGAGAAGTACGATAGTGTTAGTGCATCGCAAGCTGACACATTTCGGACTTCTCATTTTAACTATTTATTCACTTAAATACCTTACCCTTTTTGAAGAGAACATTGCGTAAAAAGAGGTGGAAGGAGGGAGGATAAATTCAAAGTTTTGAGACGTTACAAATAAGAACAACTGCACATAGGGTATAACATTCACAAAAACCAAATGCATAATTAGAAGAAATACAACGTTTTGATGAAAATATTGCAAATAAGTGCAGCAACTGCACGTCAAAGTATAACAAAAAAGCGTTGTTATTGTCTAGGGGTTTGTTCTACATAAATTCACTCCACATGCGCTATCTTCCAACCGTTTGAGTCATAACTTCCTTCTTCTCTCTTCTTGGCCGACATGGCGCACGCTCTGCTGTCCCGTCACATTGTTCCCCGTGAGCAACAATGCCTCGATGTGCCACCCGCTGGGCAGGACGTGAACTCCGCGCCGAGCATGGCCTGTGTCGCGCTAGCGCCTATGTTCTGTGCGTGGCCGTCGCACGCATAGCCCACACCCTCACAACCCACACCCTCACAACACCCCCATCCTTATTATGTGAAGGGGACCAGGCTTGCGGAAGACGGCAAGTTGGTCATCATTAGACAAACCGCATGCAGTTTCCGTGTATTTTGGTTACTCGAGCTGTAACAGTGAAGGGTCCAGATCGCTTAGAAACAACACTCTAAGAAAAAAAGAAGAAAGGTGGCAATAGCGACTGTTCCTCCTTGTTGCGGACCAGTTGCCCAGAGAAGGAAGGAACGGCAGTTCAGATGAAAGGAGGAGGGCGAGTTCCTTCTTGTTCAGTTGGCGCAGGGGTAAAACATCGCGCTACTGACCAAGTGGTCAAAGGTGCGATCCCCAGAAAAGCGGTTTTTTTTTATTTACTAAAACAGACATAAACAAACCCAGACCGATGAAAGGAAAATTAAAGTCCTTATTATTCACCGAGACGTATTCCTCCTTCTGCAGCCAGACCGGAGAAAGCTTTCGCCCTCCCGACTCATCTTCTTTCGGTTTCGTTTTTTGAGCCTATCGCATACGTTGTTTAATAAATTGATGTTGAGTTGATTGAGCTTCAGCGGCAGCGAAGGCCGCATGTAATTCCGTCTTCTAGTCCAAACGTGCAGAGCATTTCGGTTGCATTGACGTTTTTACCACCAATTTTATCAAACGAGCTAACGAAGCCGCTAGAAACAGCGAAGTTCCGGAGCAGTGCCAGCAGCGGTACATACACTGGGTAAGACGGCCGTCTCTGATTTGCGGGACACACGCGGAACTACAGCAGCGAAAACACGAGGAACTGTGTCGACGTTTTCGACCTTATGGAAATCGCGGGAACTGCGTCCAAGGCAGGCAGGTTTTCCTGCCGGCTGCCTGGGTGCCCTCCGTGCTGAGTTTGGTTCTGTTGTCCCGTGCCGAGTGCCAACCGGCGTTCAACGTGATTCTGTATTTCTGCGTGTCAGCAACATCGTCAACGTGGTTCTGTATTTCTGCGTGTCAGCGACATCGTGATGGCAGTGTTGTGGGTTGTGAACAGAAGACTGGAATTATCGCCGATGTGACCGTGTGTTCGCGTATCAGTGGTGTAACAACAATATGAGATGACGTAAACTGTCGGGCATTGATGCCGCTGGTCGGGCCGTGATCGGAGGGGGCGGAGTGTCGCAGGATGACATTCCGCTTTACATTAAAGAGTTTAAAACCACTTGAGGGATTAGGTGCAGTTGATAGACGTGTGGATAGTCATGTTGGAACGCTGGTCTGAACGGTAAGCTCCTATCGTACAATGGCCAATGTGACTGTCGGTCTCCGAGAGCGATTGCGCTCTGGGGAAAAGACTGCCCAGTACGAAAGTATGACGGAAAGTACGTATATTTACAATGGAAATTTAGCATAAAAAAAAAAACAAGTAAAATCGAGAAAAACGCTATCCTTTATTGTACTGTTTAAATATATTACGGTTCCTGTAGAAACTGCCCTCCAAGTGGCGCGCTGGGATGAGCGCTAGAAGTTTTCGAGCTCGCAACGGCGTAGCTCCGTACACTTAACAGTTGCCGCAAGTCGCGGCTTTGATTGCATTCAAGTTGATCGAAAAGCGATTTCTCTGCCCGTGAAGCATCACTTTCAGCTGAGTGAATATCCGCTCTACAAAGATGAATTCAAGACGGCAATTGCAGCCGTGCGCGAACAGCACAAATAGAAAACCAAACACTACAATATAAATACTGGCTACGAAGGGCCGTGCGGGAAAATAAACTCATGGCTTGGAACCATATTGGAGCGGCCCGATTTATTGGCTTTCAAATAATTACGGCATGATCGAGCGTTTTCTTTTTAATAAGAGATTCATCTCCTGAGCCATTAAAAATAGTCTCAGATGCATAACATTGCTGGGAAAAAATGAACATGTTCGGAATATTTTTTTTTATTGCTTAGGGAGTCACCGAAACATTCCGTACTTTCAAAACGACCAGTATAGAAGACGGAAACGCAGGGCTTGGGAGTAGTGATCGGGGTAGGGTGCTGTTGTATTGATGTTTGTATGTGCGATGCCTGTGTATGCGCTCGATATATGTTCACCTGATGCTTGTAGTGTGCGTAACGTGTCTTTATGTGTTAGAGATTCCCGAAGAAAAGGAAACGCATTTGTGACGTTAGAAAATGAAAATATTTTTTGTAAAACATGAATTGGGCAGTACCTAGCGCCACCTAGCCTAGCTACTTGCGATTACTCTGCTTGACCCTGCCATCTGGTGGCAAGCGATTTAACATCCTTTTACGCTACGCGGCTACGCTATAATTTCGTGTTACCGTGCTGAGATAAGCCAAAAGGTTGCTTCGGATTTGCTTTTTTTTTTTGAGAGCGGCTTTTGGTTTTGCGGGCGAATGATTTTCACTCCTCCGTGATGTGCGGTTGACGCAACGCTTGAAGAAGGAATTGTGTCTCGAGGAATAGCCAAGGTAAGACATAATGTGCGCGAACTGGGTGCCGGTTGTCTCCGTTGAACATCGCAGTGCTGACGATGAGAAGACTGAGTGACGGCATGCTTTCGAAACATAAGTTTCTTTACCTGCAGGGGGAAGCCGGCTTCGGAAATAAATACAGTTCGCGGAAAGCTCTTGTTACGTTTTTATTTGCTGCTCCTCTCGCTCCGTACAATAGACTTAGTGTTCTCGTTAAGCCTTATCGAGCTTGATTTGCTCGATTCGTGGCCGCCATAATGAGATGCAGTCGACGTAGGAACTTTTGCTCCCCCGCTTAAGGGACGAAAGTTTCTGCCTTTCTGGAGGAACATATGTGTCAAGAGCGTTCCTCCCTTTAGGGAGGACTATACTGACCCTTTTTTCTAAGAGTGAAGCTTTGCGGCAATTCCCTTTCTAGCTTTGCTCAGAGTATGCAAGCATTTCAGGACCAAATCGCCTACAGCAAAGTGGCCTGGTTGTCGGGTCGAGTTGTATGGTCGTCGGTGCATTTCCTGGGCTTTGTTTTGGTGCGCTCTCGCAAAGGCCAGGGCATCCTGCAGGCGGTGGTTCAGTTCCGCTGCAAAGGAGTGGGGCGCAGAGGACGAGGTATCTGTGTCCTGGGCAGATGTTGAGTCCCACGGAGGGCGGAGCTCCCGACCGCAGCTTAAGAAGGCTGGCGTGTCAACTGCCACTACACTTTCTCTGGTTCTCATGGCAAAAGCTATCAGGGGAAGTCGGTTTTCCCAATCGCAATGTGCCTCACAGTATGCCATTACGGCTTTCCCCACCAAATATAGCTAAAAAAATTCCCCGCTATGTTTCGCGGAAAAATTTTCCCGCTAAATTTAGCTTAAAACATTTCTTGCTAAATTTAGCGGCAGAATATCCCCGCTATATTTAGCATAACATTTTCCAGCTAAATTTACCGAAATATTTCCCCCGCTAAATATATCGGGAAATTTCCCCACTACATTTAGCGAAAAAAAATCCACGCTAAATTTAGAGGAAAAACTTTCCGGCTAAATTTAGCTGAAAAATTCCCCACTAAATTTATCGGAAAACTTCCCCGCTATATTTAGGGGAAAATGTTCCCCGCTACATTTAGTGGAAAAAGTTTCCCGCTTAATTTAGCGGGAAAATAAAATAATAAAAGAATATATTACCTTCCTATATGGCACCAACTTAGCGAAAATTATTGTAAACTGTGACTTTATTATGTCAAAAACTATTGTCGTTTTTTATAGCCCAGAAATATTCAAGGAACTACGATTTTCTCAAGTTCCTCATGCATGTGTGACCGGAGTTGGAACCGCCGGGCGTTCTCCTCTAGTCGCCGAGAGATGGCGTACTAGATTGCGCTACTCTGCTCCGAAGGAGCTATAAAGTGCTCTGACTACTAATATAATAAAGAAACAATAATGAAAAAAATATTGGTGTTAGAAGACTATTTATAATCATGGTCTAAACAACATCACTGATCCTAGTGCAGTCGGAAATATTATCCCATACTATCTCAGCAAAAAAAAAAAAAGAAAAGATTAGTGCTGCTAGAGGAACGTTGTCGAAAATAAAAAAAGAGGTAAACAAATCTTGAGATGGCATTAAACGAAGGCAATTACGATTAATCGGAGTACGAATCCTTACATTACGTAACAAGGCTTAGCTGACTTACCAGAAAAGAGCAGGCAGTCCTTATTTCATTATACATATGGTACCTGTCTCAGACAGGATTCGGGGCAGAAGAGGAATTATTGTGCTACACGTAGTGTTTCCAATAAAGGGTTACGAGCAACGTTCGTTTCCGGTAACGAGTTAATGTTTTTCGGAAACGTAGTAGATTCGCCGTTACTTTTTTCAAAACAGTAATGGGTAACGTACTCACGTTACTTATTTCAAATGACGGAGAACGTAGCTACGTTACTCGTTACTTAACCAAATTCAAAAACAAAAAAGTTACACTTGAAGTTTTTTTGTGTGTTCTTAGGCGCCCTATATAAATGTTTGAGTTTTTTGCGTTTTTCTTTGCCTTTTTTTCTTGTGAGTATTTATGAGAAACCATGAAAAAACTAAAGTAATTATGTTCAGTTTCAGAAGGAACATAACGTTTTTTTTTTCGAAATATGGCTTTTATGCATACCTGGACTGGTAAAAGCGAGCCAGTTGAACATGAATACTTAAAATCGAAAGAATAAAACACGGAGGACAACCACCTGGTTGTCCTGTGGTTGTCCTCCGTGTTTTATTCTTTCGATATTATGTATGCATACGTACAGCGTCAAAACAGTAGCACGTGTTCATTCATATTAAGAAAAAAAGGAAAGTAACGCAAAGGTAACATGGGTTACTTTTTATCGGAAAATGTAACACGTTCCTTTTATTTGCAGGTAACGTGTGACGGTATTTCGTTACTTTTCTTTCAATAACACGTATAACACTGGCTACGCCTTCCACAGCAGCACGCAAGAGCCAGAAACAAGAAGAAATCTTGATGGCTCGATACGTACATGAATACGCAGTTGAGCCGCCATGTTGAACCTGAGCCGTGTGTTTTAGCGCAGCTGGCACTTCGGCGCCGTGGCTTAAATGAGCGGATATATATGCCCTAGAGAAGCAGCTTTCCTGAGTTCGCAAACCTCGAACGTCGAACACGCATCAAAAAAAAATTCTCCAGGGACATCAGTAACTCTGCGACGTCATTCGATCCAATGTGAGTGAATATTTCTGCTTCAGCTGAGACACAGCAGTATCTTGTCGCGTTGTGGCCTTTTCTTATTTCGCCTTATTGGAGATATTTATATCCCATCGTGTACAACGTTTACCAAGTGACCAAACCTGCCAACTGAATGCATTCCGGAACTCGACATCAAAGCTCTCTCGCAGACGTCGAAACTAACTGGCATGGCCCTATTTCGAAAATTAATACATAACTCAAAGGCAGTCATCCTCGCTATTAATATGATTTAAAAAAAAGAATAAGAAGCAATACGACATTTAGAAGAGGTTTTATCAGCAATGTACAAGTAACATCACTGAAGTCAGCGCGATGGTAAATAACATTTGATGCTATCCTAAGAAAAATTAAAAGTAAGACTACTACTACTTCTACTACTACTACTACTACTACTACTACTACTACTACTACTACTACTACTACTACTACTACTACTACTACTACTACTACTACTAATAATAATAATAATAATAATAAATTGTATTCAAGAACATCCATACTTACATACGATAGTGCGGGGACAATAAAAAGCCTACAGTGGCCAATGTGTCGCTGCCCACCCGAAAGTTCAGAAGAAGAAAAAAAAAACAACGAAAAACAAAATGTTCGAGAACACACAGCTGTAGTAGAAGCGACACAGTCACAAAGCAGTTTTCAAAAACAGAAAGAAACAGTTGCAGAAAATACAAAGCCCGATGACTACTTCGGTACAGAGCACTCGCGTACAAAATACATATTTAAGTATATTTCTGCCTGAAAGGTAAAATGATCTCTTGTTTTCAGCTCGCTCAATGAATTAGCCTGCCGAATTTCAGAAGGCAAACTATTAAAGATCTCAGGCACGTAGACCTCACACGTATACTTGCCGTATCTAGGTCGGACGTAAGGCATTTTAAAGGTCTCTTAGAAACAAAACAAACGAAGAGATGTTTTTTTTTTTTTTAATTTGTCTTACCAGAAGTAACGCGAGACTACTGTTTGAGTAGATAGGGTGCGGAGACATGGCAATTAAGTAACATCGGGAACTTGCAAATCATAAGACACACTTTTCAAAATATTTTTCAAACTACAATCATTCTTCTCATGCCAGAACCCCGAGCAGTTGCCAAATACAGCAACACCGTATCTTAGCACGCTGTATGCAATTGCCTGGGCGACTCTTTTACGAACTGAAAAAGGCATAAGCGATTTTGTGTTATAAAGGAGGCAACAAGCACTCCTCAATTTGGCAGCAATGCTAATCAGCTGAGCCTTCCATGTTAGACCGCAGTCGAATATTACTCCAGGATATTTGACCTTATCGACATATACCAAAGGATCACATTTGCAAGACATAGAACTCGAGCTATGTAGAAGAAAGGGAAAATCTAAATTCACATATTTGAGCGGGGTACTAAAACGTATGAGTTTTGCCTTGTTTACATTAATGTCCATAAGGTGACGTTGAAACCAGTTTATGACGGTAGTCGCGGCGCATTACCATAAAATCAGATTTATTAATCTCAAACTCCATTGACTGAGCATGACTGAAATGAACAGGCATTTGTGTGGTTATCCAGGACATGAAAACACCAATCCCATTCCCACTGCCTGATTGGCGGGTAAAAAAAAACTCGCTGAAACCATTAATGGTGAAAGCTTGTTTCAACGCTGTTTCCAGAATATTAATTTCCATGAAAACACAAAACTCGACGCAGTCACCGAGGTTCGCACGAATAGGCAAAAATTGATCCCAGTATTTGTTTATGGTACGTACGCTCACATGCACAGCTGTAACAATACTTCCTTAATTTGACTGTCGCCCTTTTTTGAACGCATAGATGTCGGGGCACTCAAGGAACTGTACTGCCATCGCTCTAGTTTACCGTTTCAAGGTCCTGTTCACAACTGATACGGACGGACGTGCACGCCCCATCTGTTCGCTTAGCAAAGATTTTTCCATTGCGAACCCAGACATATCTAAAGTGTTTTTCCTTGCCGCGGATTCTAGTATGCCAGAATAGATTGCAGTTGAACAGTGTCAGATTCTCATTGATATACAGCTGCGGTACAGGTTTGTAGTCTGCCTCGTGTGTTCAACCAAGTTCCACGGACTTCAGCTGACTACAATAAAATCAAGACCGAGGGTGTTTTGACTTTTTGGCCATGTAATTTGCGCACAAAAACGGCTTAGAAGGGTTGAAAGGAGAACAATTACAATTAGTTTGCGAGGTCAGCAACGGTATTCATCAAAGCTCTGTTGGGAGTTACCGGCACTCCGTGGATTTGGCCGTATCGTGCAACTCCGTCGGTAGCTGCACGATACGGCCAGAATTCTGCGAGACGGTAGTTTTCAGTCAGTACATCCCCGTACTAAGCTCTTTAACCTTAGTCGCGATGGTTGTTGTTTCCTTAAGTAGCCTATTATAGTGGGCTGAGTTGAATTCTAACGATTTCATCAGTTCATTAAACGCAAACTTCAACTTATCGATTATAGACTTCACCACGAGTAAGCCTTGCCAGATAGAAAAAAACTCACATTTTTTTGTTGTTGTTGTTTTTTTAAGGCAGGAGTTGATTTATTTTCGCATTAATGTTGCTAAACAGGACAAAGATGCTAGCTAACTCAGGCTTGGAGATATCCACGTCGAACACCGAAGCTGCCTGACCATCCTTAACCCTACAAGTTCGGCAACGCCAGTTCTCGCCCTCTTTAGGTCCAATATGCTTGTAAACTTATTTTCCGAGACACCAGAACACGTGCCGCCAAGATGATAAGAGAAGGAAAATTCCGAGCAGGATAAAGAACGGTCGGACATCAGGCAGCACCATAGCGCATGCTATGCAAATGCTTGACGTCATGGCACGCCTAAGCGTTAAGCAAAATGCAACGAAACAAAGACAGGCAGACACACAGTATTGCAGTCGACGGGGGTGCAGCACAAAAAACCCTTCTATTAAAACGTCGCGCTCACCTTCCGCATAAAATAGATCGTTACTGAAGAGCCGAAGAACGGACGCCGACTGCAAACGCCCAGCGTGCAGGCGCTGTCTTTATCGCTGTCCCAAAGACTGTGACGTCGGTGATAGGTAGCCGACCAGTCAGTGCCGTGGGTCAGTCCATGGTAGACGAGGAGAATCCGGCATCTTCCAAAGCGGGATAGCAGGCCAAATCATCCGATGGGTTCCAGGACAGCGATCAGGGCGATGACCGCGCCAAGAACGACCTGCCGCAGAAAATAGATGGTTCCTGGCGAGCCGAACAAAGAAGGAACAAAAGCCATGTAGTGGATACCGATATATGAATCTTTAAATGAAGTAACAAGATTTATTTAATTACACTACGTATCATGTCGGCTATTTTACCATATGAATTCAGTAGAACCCTCCCTCCCTCCTTCCATTCTCTCTTTAAATGTACCCCAATAAGAAAAATTAAAAAAAAAACACTAACCATGTATACACAGCATCTTCAGCAACTACCACCTTGTGCCTGAGGCTTATCAAGTTGGGTCTGATGTAGTTTGTTGCGCCTGCTACTATCCTAAAAAATGCAATCATCCGTTCAAAAATAAAAATAAGCAAAACACTCGCTGTCTTGCGCTCTGCTTTTTGGTGTTGGGATGCTAGCACATATAATTAACGTCCATCATAGGGTCTTCCAAAATTAAATAAAACGTTCTTTCTTTTTTTTTTAGAAATAACCACGTCAAGCACGGTTTCAAATATGATGGCCCTGAGGGAGGTGCTGAAAGTTACAACTGCTGCCTTGAAACTTGAAAGTCGCCGTCTGAAGAATATTTCCTCTAAGAAAAGGTTAGAACGCTTAATTTCCTTTTATTGCTCACAGTATGTAGTATCGGTGTGCACGTCCAGGAAACCAGTGTGTAGATAATAGAATAACTAAGGGGGTCAGGAACAGATGTTGCAGTCAAAATTGGGGTTGAAAGCGCACCTCGCCGACAATACAGTAACAAGCATGTTGTGCCTGTTTGCTCCATGAATGTGCAAAGTGTACACGAAGGCAACCTTGGTAACATTGAAATAGCACTTGCTTGCCCAGCCACGGAAAAAACGGAAGCGGCTTGGAGACATGCGATTCCTGTTAGTCGGTGAAACACAGTGCGCATGATTACCTTTGCGCATGCGCAGTTCTTGTGGGTGGCTTTCTTTTTCAAGAGATGCACCTGAGTAGCCTATTTCGTGCGCACGCTACATCTTGCACTAAAAAAGGAATGGCAACTCGCTCTACGAAAGTGGTGGATTTGACCGCCATTAGTTACCGTTCCGTGACGCATTTAATCACGAGCCACCGAATTTTTTATCTACCAATAAACACTAGGAATAAAGTAGTTCGGCCGGTATAAAGAGGAACAAAAACTGGTGGTCGGTTCTAAAGAATATCTTGCAACGCCGCCTCGAAGATCTCTTGAAAGTTAATTTCATTTCAGAGTCTCTAAAATATAGCTGTTCCTCACTTATACTGTCTGCGCCTTCACTAGGAAGTTTATGCTTTCGTTAATCGTGCTGTGTTAGGCCGCAGTTAACTTTTCGTAATAAGCTTACCTGATTTGGAAATTTTGTTTTTCCTAAGACAATTTATATAAAGTGAAACTACAATTCTGGTGATGCCGGGGAAAGCACGTATGCCACAGAGCGAAATGTGCCACTCTGCGAATAAGAATAAAAAAAAATGGTTTGCTTTCTGTACTTAAACTGTTCAGTGTCGATATGAAATGAAGAAGGGTATATGTTATAATCTCATTATTACTTGATTTCAGGAGTTACAGTTCGAAGACTTCGGGAACCATGGAGTCCCAAACCCTGAGGGCTGTCTACAAAGAACAATTTCTCCCCCGAACTTATATGGATGTTTATGGTCGTTTAACTGGTGAAGCTATATCGTCCATGGCAGAAAATCTTCATGGCATATTTCAATCGGGTAAATTATGCTTACCGTTCGGAATGTTATCTTGTTAGAGTTCCAGAGGTCGACTACCACGAGATTATTCATCGAGCAACACGTAGATTTGCTGGCTATTTTGGTTTGTAAATATGCGAACTATAGCTCCTGACAGGATAAAAATGGCGCGGCTCCTCTTTCGAACGACCCCAGCAAGAGAGCCCATTGATTCCGCCATGCATTAGCTGCGCCTGCACGCTCGTTAAAGGAGCTGTGCAACAATATTCAATTGGAATGTTTTTCTCTCTACACGAGCTTACTGGCACACCTGGGACTCAAGGATACTCACACGCAACGCCACTGGCCAAGAAACTCCTTTGTTGCGGTGTAATTTCAAGGACAAAAGCGATCATTTTCATTCAATCTCTCCTTTGCGAAATTTGATGACGTAACTCGGGGATCGCAGTACACCCAAGTGACGATATTTGAATGCGGTTCATAGATTGGACCCGAGCATTGCGTGGGCACTCGACTTGGGCTCGTGATAATTGCTAGCTCGAGAAGCGTTCGGGTAGTGACCCGTGTCCAATCGCTGCAACGACGACAACAGCCGAGCCATAACAATGTCTGGAACTCAGCGCGTGTCCTGCGCTTTGCCAACCCCAGCGCGTGGCTATGATCAAGACTGGCGGCATATAATCGGCTCCAGATCACGTGGCCGCTTGTTCTAGCTGCGAGTTGAGGGGGTGAACGCTGCTCGTTTTTCTTTAATTTTTTTCTGGGACTTCTATTGCGTGGGGTGAAAAACTAACGCGTGTTTCATAGGTCATTAACGTTAGGGATCCGTTTTAAGCGGTATTTCTGCAGAGTACAAAAATTGTTGCACAGCTCCTTTAAATCACGATACGCCGAAGTGGTTTCGAAGCTGCAAGAGGCTCGCTCTGGGCGGGACAACCGAAAGATATCACTGCTCTTCTCATCATGTCTGTGACTATAGTTTGGTACGGGATTTTAGGCCCGTTTATTGGCGACGTGTGCAACCAAAAACGTCACTGTGGCCAATATTCGCGATTGGCCAAACACTTTATGACGCATTTATTTAAACCTTTTAATTTAATTTGTTGGTTTAAGAGTGCGATTGGTGCAAGCTTGCGTCGCCCTTTTTATCACACACCATTGAACTTGTCGTTCGCAACTGATGATCAGTAGTCGATTACGACTTGTGACGTTTCTTCGAGGCAACCCCTGCAGTCGTGACGTCACGATCGGGATCTATAAAGGCCCGCTCACACACCTGCGTCTGACTACGACCGACTTTAACACGTTTTAAGCCTCTTGTGGCGGCTGACGACCGCCTGAGCTGCTTCGGAGGCTGCCGTAGGCCGTTACGATAGGCTTAAAAACCGGTATTTAGCCGCTCATGCACTAAGAAGTCGCAAGTGTGGGAACGTCCTTCAGAGGGCGCGCCACCGCAACATGTGGGCGGCACGGATACTTCTGTTTGAGAAGTACGGGCACTCTGTCATCGCCCCACCGTGCCGATGCCGAGATAGAGCATGCCCTATTGCGTGCCGGCCGCGGTGCATAGGACTAATCACTGCAAGTTTGTGGATGCAATCACAACTAGAACACCTTTTCTGCACCGTTACGATTTGAAGTTCATGCTTGGAATGCATCGAACTTCGAAGACGACTATAGGCTATGGTCAGAAGTGTACCCGATCCCATACAGTAAAGATGTCGCACCTTGGCGTTTCAAAACTCGCTTCTGATCCGTAAAAAAGTATTAAGAATACATACACGCAGAAAATGTATGGTGGTTGATATGCAGAGCAGATGGAAGACGATGAAAGAAAAACATATAGCCCAGAGGACCGGGGACCGTTTCCTTTGTAAATAAAGGTGTGTTTGTGTGTGTGTGTGTGTGTTTGTGTGTGTGTGTGTGTGCAGGTGTGTGTATATGAGCGTGTGTGTGTGATTTAGAATAGCCATAGCAGGTTAAGTATGTACATACGTCGAAGTTTTGGTCTCATACGAATGAGTGCAGGAGAATCACTTACCTATGACCTGTGCACTTTGTGCAAGGAATAAAATGAGAATCATTATTAATTAATATCCATAATAGGCTTTATTCATAGATGGCAAAATTACTTTCAAAACGTAATTAAATTACATTACTAATTACTTTTCTGGAAACTGCAAAAATGTAATTAAATTACATTACAAGTTACCGCAGACTAAAGGTAATGACATTACATTACAGTTACTTTTGAAAAGTAAGCAAATTACTTTGAAATTACTTTTGAATACCTTGAGGTAGTAATTCGTGCTCATTTTATTCACCGTATACACCAACACAGTGTTTACAAAAAAAACACCTCGTTTGCTCACACAGCGCGTGTGCAGGAACCAGATACGGGAGAAGAGAGGCGCTGCGCATGCGCAGTGCCGACAGCAGCACCACAGCAGTGATGTGACGTCAGAGCTGAGTTGGTTCATATGCACCAAAACTCAGAACTTCCTGTTTACACCGCAACAACCTTATCGGCCTCAAAGTGAACCATACCGAACAGTAATTTTGCTGGCGCACGCGACATAAGTGTCAAACACGATGTATAGCTTCTTTAGATGTGACTCAGAAAGACAGTCGACTCACCGGTTTCTTTGTTCATACAACGGAGACGGTTTTTACTAAAAGGGTGATATGTTTCCGTCTTCCTGATTTAGAAGTTGCAATGGCAGCTCGTTCTTGCAAGAAGTCGTCACGTGAAACGTGTCCCTTCTGCCTCAGACGGTATCGAATTCTATTCTCCCAGAAGCACTATACTCGGCGACAACCTTTCTTGGCAATGCAGTGGAGAGGAGCAGAGCCCGCGCACAGCTTTATTCATCGTTCCAAATGGAAAAGGGAACGCGTGCCTGTACCCTCCACTGCATTGCCAAGAAACGTTGTCGCCGAGTATTGTTGACGTATTCTCGGTCATTCCTTTCAAGAAGCATTTTTCCCAAATACCCGAAGATCCAAGTTTTTGCGCATTGTCACACAAAGGTCCTGGATAACTGCTGAGCAGAAGCATCGCCACTTGAGGAAGGGCGAGAACTTCCTAAATTGTGTACTTCCTCAACACACGGGCAGCGATATCTGCTTGTAGGCTTATTCCCGAATAAACTTCTCAAGGGAAGGCAGCGAGGCATACCGCAAGCGGCACCTGTTTTGCTCGAGGACGCACGAAACGTTCTGGGGCTTTGACGAGGTATCTGGAATGAACCATTTATTCCGGTCGTTTGGTGTTCACAATGGTCAAAGCTTACGGTTTGACCTTGCTTGGTGAAAGTACAAGGCTAGGGATCTGTTTGTCCTGTCCTCTCAGGTTTTAAATTATGTTTAGTTCACTGGTGATATGCCCGTCACCTTGTAGCCTATTTGCCGTTCATCCCTAAGATGGCGCACTGTCAGCTTAGGGATGAACGGTGGAGGCTACGTGTTTGTTGGAGCAGTCACCCGTCTATCGTTCGCCAGGTAACCACACTTTCGTTCATACCTACGCGCAGGGAAAGGGACGGCTTAGGTGATGAAAGGAAGTTGTTTGATTGGTTCTGGTTAGTTTGCAGCTCCCACCGCACTGTCAGCTTAATGATGAACGGAGTGTAGTATCGTCGTGATGACGCGATGTCGTGAATCTATCGTGGCTGAAGTTCGTAAGCCGTTGCCTTCCAGCGATGCTTACACGTAAGCTTTTCCCCTTCGCCTTTTCAGCGCTCCTTTATGCGTCTGTCCAGCTCTTCGTACAAGGCTTTGCGCTCGGGTGGCGGTCTTTTATTCCCTCTGACGCTCTTTCGCAACATTTCACCATGCGAAATAATTTTTCTCTTCTTTTTTAAAGCTTGCAAACGAACTTTCTAATTTAGGACAAAAGTAATTTCAAAAGTAATGAGTAATATTCTCGAAATTACTGCCTGGAAGTAATTCATTACATAACTAAATTACTAGCCTAGAGAAGTAATTCATTACATTACTTATTACTCAGAAAGTAATTTAATTACTGTAATTCTATTACAGTAATGTCATTACTGCCATCTCTGGTTTTATTTACCATGTAAACAAGGTGGGAGCTGAGGATAAAACGTTGTCCGAGCTGCTTGACTGGTTCTCAGCCCCCTCAAGTTCACATAAGGGGTAAGAAAAGTAAAATAAAAAGAACAATAACACGAAGTACGTCCATCACAAAAGCAACAAAAACTCCCAAAAAGGAATTTACAATTGTCAAGTTTACTTACACTAAGACAAAGCAAACGAAAAGCCGATCACACACAAAAACAATTAACAAAATTTGTTTAACATATGTCAGTAGCACACATAAAGAAAAAGAAATTTGCTTTCCATGGTATGGTACATTGCGCGAGGTTCTGTGTACCTGTAAGTGTAACTATAACCATTAACAAGGTGATATCTATTTAATAGAGATGACAACGAAAGACAGAGACACTTTTTTTCGGAGTTTTGTCCCGCGGAAGTTACTGTCAAGTTCTCTTTACGTCTTGTAAAATAACTAAAGCGCTTTTATTTTTGCAATTAGGCCAGATTATGGAATCAATTATTCAGATGTTCCCTCGCTCAATGTCAAGTCGGGTGTCTAGCGCATAATATGCAACCAAATACCGCACACCACAGAGAATAGTCTCGTTATACAAGGATTGACTGCTCGCCGTTCTTAACGATGGTAGTAGCTTACTCAAAAATTAAAAAAAAAAAACCTATGTGGTTCGTTTTTTATTAGGCTATTATATCTTACATAACCTTTTCGAAGACGAGTTGATAGAAACACCGCTCCATCTGAATGCAATGGCTCCGGGGTAAGCGGGATTTCACTAGGGGGCTTAGGTTTGAGAGTCAATGCAACTGGCCGACCCGGGTCACGTGGTTTATGGACGGAAGACGCGGGTAATGCCTACCAGAATAACGCTCCCCATAAGTTTCCTTGCTCTCTCCTCCAAGTCTAGGCTCTCTAGCCACCGGTAACACCAGTACCGTATCTTGGCATGTCGTAACCGGAGAACGCATTTTGCCTTCTTCATTGGACGAGATATTTAGTACCCCACCTGGGCCTGACTTGGGCATAAGTAGGTGCTTCAATTGTGAGTACGAGATACTGTAGCTTTGCGAACTTGGATTCTTTATTAGATAATAGCAAAAATATCTCATATCTTTATTATTTGGCAATAAATCGAGGACATATTTATATATATTGTAATACATCCGGGTAAATATAAAACTCTTCTAGATAACAGACAAAATAAAACATCGGGAGGACGAAACAGACGAGTACTTTCGTTCTTTCGTCCTCTCCGCGTTGTATTCCTTCTGTTCTCTAGTATACTTTATCAGCACGCTTGTCAGGAATATAATAAAACTCTCGTTTGCTTTTCATAGATCTCGCTCAGGGCGGGTCCTTACTGGATGTGGGCACTGGCCCTACGCTTCTGACCTCGCTCTTGGCCTCCAGTCGATTCAATGACATCGTACTGAGCGACTTAGTTGAAGCAAACAGGTTGGAACTTCAAAAGTGGCTCAATAAGGATGAAGATGCCATCGACTGGACCTTCCGTGCAGAGGAGATTGCTGCCATTGAAGGATGTAGGTAAGTATCGCCTTAGTGTATCTTAGTTTGTCGCTCGTTTATTCCATCTCCCTCCTCCTTGTCGTCTCCTTTGTTTTTCCGTTTCCTTCGTCGTCGTTGTCCTCCTCCTCCTTTATCGCTAAGCCCACTTCTCTTTTGTGGAGACCTCAGAAGTTATCTACGATGGGACAATACTGAAGAAAAAAAAAAAAAAAAAAAAACTCGAATAGACTACTTTTAAAACCCCGTCAAGCAATATTGGCGATCGCCATTTCTTGGCGATCGCCAATGTTACGCTAGGTGGCGCAAGCTGCCGCCCGTTACAAAGGGTATAGCCATTACCATCCATCCACCCCTCCATCGGGCACGAAGGGTGCGATCAGACTCGCGTCCGTACCTTACGCTAACGTTACAAACGCAGTCGATACGAGCTAAGCCGAATTCACGTCGAAACTTGACGCAACCCTTGTGTTGAATGCATGCTCAGAGTACGTGTCTCAACAATGGCCCACTCGTATAATCGGCGTTGCAGCCACTCGATTGCGTGCGCAGTAAAAAACGAAGAAACGGACACGAAGAGTTCTTTGCTATGAACGCGTGAGAAGCGTCGATACAAAATGGAGAAGACGGAATAGGAATCTTAGATCTAAATATATGGGCAGTAGCAAGGATGCGGATGATAAGATATAGCTTAAGCAGAGAGTTAAAGAAACTGGGAGGGAAATATGGGACGCGGGCATGCAGATTAAATCGGTCTTGGACATGTACAGATCGTTTAAGATCGACATTAAAGAACTCATTCTACGCAGTTCTAGGGAGAGCTCCTTGTTGTTCGAGGCAAGGACGGAAGTGTTGCGAACTAAGACATACAGAGCTAGATATCAGGAAGTAGACACGGTGTGTGGAGTTTGTGGAGAAGAGGAGCAGCCGGCTGCGTACTTGATACTTTGCTGTAAGGGGCTCCGTCCCGTAGTAGCTGAGGAGACGACTCTACACGACCCCGTGTAGAGTCCGGGCTCTTGCGTTGGCGACGTGCTCGTCGAGGCGTTCAGGACACCGCAGGGGCAGGCAGACCGGGGCTCCCGTGTAAAGTCCGGGCTGGCTGGCGATGAGTCGTCGCAGTTGCGTCGAAGACGTACGTCAATGCCGTTTCCTCCCCAGGACTCAGCACGGCGTTCCTTCTCTGTTTCCTTTCGGCTGGCCGCTGACCTCGCGTCAAGTCTTGATCGACGCGCTCGTCCAACTGCCGTTCCCGCCGAAATCTGCGCCGATCGCCGTTGAGTGCCCCTCCTTCTCTCCCTCTCCTTTCCCTTGATTCCCCTTTGTTCCCGACAAGCACGGAAGGCGGGAAAGCCCGGATGGTCCCTCCAAGGTTGCAGGACCGCTGTTTCCTGTTCTGCCACCGCCGGCACCGCGAGGCAGTCATTCTGTTAACCCGTTAATGTCACACCCCGGCTTCGCGAAACACCGGCCTTCTCGGAACTCGCGATCATCACACTCGCCCCTTTTTCTTTTTTTTTTTTTTTTTAACTACGTTTAAAACAATATGCAGTTATAGTAGACCGTGTTTTCCCCTCCGCTAAGCCCTCCGCAACGAAGAAACCACCACCGCGCCTGCGTGCCGGTGGCCTTGGCTGTAGAGTTCCGGGTAGCGGAGGGGGAAACACGGTCTACTAAAGCTCCCTACTGCTACCTACGCTCCCGTGTGCAACACGTCAACGCAAGAGCACGGTGCAAGCGTCGTCACAAGCGGTCGGAGACCAAGTGGTCATTCTACCGCAGTACGTCCCGCGCTTACGAAGAGGACCTCCAGCCTCGGAATATTAAGCATCTATGTAACCTAACCACTCCGACCCCTCCTCCGATTCAAGGGTTTACATGAATATGAACGCTCAAGAGTTTATAAAACCAGGCAGGTGCATATACAGAAACATAAGCAAAAAAATTTCTTCCTCAAAGGTGCAGAGTCACCGGGTCACCACCGGAGGGGTGGCACATTTCCCAGATCTATTTTTCAAGTACATTCTCTCCGCTCGAAGGAGGACGGGCACAAGCAGTCTCGATCTTTGTTTGCGAAGCAGCACCCGGGACCTCTAGCATCGGTGGGGCCAGAGCTTTTTTGTGAAGCATCTCCCATGTTTCGGGAGGTATATCTAACCCCGATTCCCCTCTGATAATGTCTGTGCCGTCTGTCGTCGACCGAGGCGGATTGTCGTCTAAGGGAGTGCAGGAAGAGGATGGAAAACTGTCTGCCAAAGGGGCGCAAGGGGAGGCCGCACGAGCGTCATCATTCGCAAGCTTCAGCCGGTTTACGTGCTTTGTACTCTCGGCTCCGGTAGCCAGCTCTTTAACTCTTATCGTGACCGGCGTAGCGAGCTTAACTACCCGGTATGGGCCCCTCAATTTAGGTCCCAAATTTCGCGATAGGCCCCTCCCTGGGTAGCGCACGTCCAGGGAGACGCGATCCCCCTCTTGAAAGTCTAGATTTCTCTAGATTTCGCGATCCGCCATCATATAGGATCTTCCGTCTCTCCTGTGAGCAACGTAACGCCTCGCCAGCACGATCGTGAGTCGCCTGCAGCCGTAACACCCACTCCGATTTGAAGTCGTTTAGACTACCTTAGTTTGGCACTCTCGGCGCGTCGAGGATCTCCGGGGGTAGTCGTGGGGTAGTCGTGGGTCTCGGTCGTGGCACACAAAAAAAAAAAGGGTATCGTTGGTGCTTGCGTGTTCCGCATTGTTATAGGAGAATAACACGTACGGAATACAAAGATCCCAGTCCCTCTAATCCCTGCTAACGAGGTGGGACAGCAGCCCCTTTAAAGTTTTGTTGAGTCGCTCTACAGCACTGTTCGGATCAGGATATGTTCAGCTTTCGACTGGCTTAGGCCACGGGTCTTTCAACTCCGTTCTTTCTCTGTGAGAGCACAGCCCCAAGTGCATATTGTCACGGGTGGTGACCAATAAACAAGAAATAAACAGAAATAAATAAACGTTTAATGTCGCGAACTTGTGCCAAAAATAAAGAAGGAAACAGAAGAAAGCAGAGCGTCGCGGGCGTCGAAGTCGGCGTGTCAGCAGAGTCGAACGCTGGGCGAAAACTGACTCGACAAGGTCGCGGGCTTCCTCTTATCAAGAGTAAGTCACTATCTCGAAGATTCGGCGGAGAAGGTTCGAGTGGAGCGCGCTCGGGGTGACAATGAACACGCACTTTCTAGAACAAGAAAGCAGGAATAAAGGATCGAAGTTTCGCCCGGAACAAGAATAAACGAGAACGTTCCAGAACTCCGTGACCGAGCGTTGATTTCCCGGCACAGCGCGCGGCATTATCCTCCCCTTTAAAAGTGCATCGTCCCGATGCAGCACAAACGGAAAACAAACAAAAAAACAAAAGGACAGCAGAATTGCGAGCCGGAGTTCACAGTTCACAGTTCACTCGTCGACGAGAGTGGAAAGTTCTATCGTTCGTAATACGTCTTCAGCCGGACGACGTGCACCACCTCGAGTCGTGGCTGACGTCTTGCAGGTGGGCGCGTCCCGTCGGGTAGAACTTCGTAGTTCAGATCGCCGAGGCGTCGAATGATCTTGTAGGGTCCGAAATAGCGTTTCAGAAGCTTCTCGCTGAGACCGCGGCGCCGTATTGGTGTCCAAACCCATACCCGGTCTCCGGGTTGAAAGTGGACGTCTCGGTGACGAAGGTTATACCGGCGTGCGCCGACTCGCTGTTGGTCTTGAATCTTGATTTTTGCCAGCTGACGAGCTTCCTCCGCGCGCTGGGAGATCAGTTGAGCTGATGCCTTCGTCGGCTGGCACGTGAGGCAGCATGGCGTCGACCATTGTGGTAACCGTCCGGCCGTGCACCAGTTGGAACGGCGTCATTCCCGTGGTTTCTTGAGCCGCTGTGTTGTACGCAAACGTGACGTACGGCAACACCTCGTCCCATGTCTTGTGCTCTACGTCGACGTACATGGAGATCATGTCGGCGATGGTCTTGTTGAGCCGCTCCGTTAGCCCGTTGGTCTGCGGGTGATAAGCGGTTGTTCGTCGATGGCTGGTATGACTGAGCCGAAGAACTTCTTGGGTCAGCTGTGCTATGAAGGATGACCCGCGATCTGTGATCAGCACTTCAGGGGCGCCGTGTCGAAGGGGAATAGATTCGACGAAAAACTTGGTGACTTCGACTGCTGTTCCCGATGGCAGGGCTTTCGTCTCGGCGTATCGTGTAAGATAATCGGTCGCGACGATAATCCACCGATCCCCGCAGGGGGCACCTGCGAAAGCAGGTGTTTGGAGAGTGGCGTCTCCACGGACCCCGAGCCATGCGGGTTCGCCCGCCCACGTCTGACTGCGTGTGGCTTTCCCGTGTCTGGGGAAAAGGGCATCCTGGTGGTTGAGCCGAGCCCGGGGCAGGGTTGGACCCTTCGGGGCCCCCCGGGCGAGGGAATACACCGCTTCGGCCCCCGCTTCTCATAGACGGGAGTCCTGGTAAGGCCCGGCCAGGATGATTCAGTCTAGTCTCCACATCTTCTACTATCCCCTCCCTTCTTTCACTCTTGTCTTCTCCTTCTTTTCACTCTTCTCATTTCTCTTCTTTCCTTCTTCAACTCCTTTGGCGGCAAGGGCTAACCTTGGGTGGCGACAGACCCCTTGTCCAGACCCACACCTGGTTATAGTTCCTGGGCAGTGCTAATAGCATAACGTCTCCAGCAAAGCCCCTTTTGTTATGGTGCGTTATCTATTCCCATGTTGGGCTCCGTGGTGGGCGGCACACCACAGGTTCCGAACAAACTTCGCCTCTTATGGCAACCCCCCCAAACCAAAACCCCCAGTTCTGGACGTGCCGCTAAGAGGCATCGTCCCGAACGAACAGTCATAGTAAAAGATAAAGAAGACGAAACTTTTTCAAGATTTATGGTGATCCACTCCGAGGTCCCTGACAATCCTCTCAAAGATGTCACCGCTCCTTGTAGCAAACGTTCTTGACAATCAGATAGGTGGTGATTACAAAGCGAAGAAACTGC